CATCGTCGATCACTTACATAAAAGTAAATTATACACGTAGATTATGTGATTATGCCAAAAAATGGTCAATTATGCTCGATTATGCGATTATGCTCAAAAATTAAGAAGTGTGCAGCGAAAGCATAATCCTGGACACCCTATTTATTATTGTAAAGCAGAAGATATGTTTAATATCACGTGGTTAATCTACCTAATAAGATCGACATCGAATCTAAATGATCTACTGACTTTTTTATTTTTTCATCTATAAAAAACAATAATAATAATAAAAATATTATATTCCGTTTTTGTAAAATACATGAAAAAACTTTAATTTGAAAAAACTTTATTAATTTCCTTTGTTTTTTAAATTAAAAAAAGCTTCTTCAAGTTCCTTTGTTCTTTTAAATATACTTGGGAAAATAATGGGAAAATCCTATTTTTTTTTAAGAGGAAAACTTGTTTTTATTCTTGTAATAAACTTTCTTTCATCAAATAAATTTTTAACCAATTAAATAAATTTTTTCATTATATTTAGATTACATCAGATATTTATTTAAATCAATAATTACACGCCTTTAAAACCAATCCCAAAGCAAACAATTTGAAAATATGTTACGGATTACAATAAACTGCTCCACACACGATCCTGATTATTTATTATTATTATTATTATTTATTTATTTACAATATCTAATATTGTTAAATAATAATAGTAATAACTTGATAATAAAATCTCTTGTTTTTACAATCTTTGCTTAGAACCAATCATTCAATAAAATACACGAGGCTCATAATATTTACTGTGGTGTAACTCCAAATATGAAAAATAAAACCTTAAATCAACCAAAGAAATGAATGAATGAATGAATGAATGAATAATGAATGAAATTAAAAATTTATGATTTGTGATTTTGTTGCTAAATTACGACGTATTATTATTATTTTATTATTATTATTATTATTGTGTATATTAATTAATAAATAATGAATGAATCAAAATCAATAAAATAATTAAAAAATAAATTTTAAAACTTTAAATTAATTAATTAAAATCGTTATTGACTAATTTATTCCAAATGTTGATGGAATACAATAGGTGTCACCTATTTTGTTTCGCTGCCATCTTTTTGAATTTATTATGAAAATCCATACATAATTCCAGTAAATTTTAAAACAATGATTGATTGATTCATTCATTGAAATTTAGTCGATCCATAGATATGAATACCAATTAATTGTATCAGGACTTTCTTTCATTTTCTTGTTGTTGTCGTCGCTGTCAACCATCTTTGGCGTTGTGTTTATAACAATAATAATAGTGGTAGTAATAATAAAAACAACAATAACAATAACAACAATAACAACAATAATAATGGTATTTTGATTTCTTTTATTCTTTCCAATGCTTTTATTATAAACAACAACAACATTGTTGGAATGTCAAAGAATGAGTACAATGATATTTGATGTTTAAGAAAGTAGCCTTGTCTATGTGAAAAAATAGAATTATCCATTTACGCCCAAGAAAGACACAATGCTATTAAGAATAGAAAAAAACAATGCAAGTTGTTGAAATTATAATAATTTATATGGACTTACGATGATGATTATGATTACGATTATGATTACGATTATGATTACGATTACGATTACGATTACGATTACGATTACGATTACGATTACGATTACGATTACGATTAAGCTTAATTTTGTATGATTTATTATATTCTGCTATTTTATATGAAATATATAATATATTCCCACATCATTAATTATTTTGTGCCAAAAAGAAAAAAATCGCTAATGGTTATCTTTAGGCATGATTCATACCTCAACCATTGTTTATTATTTGCTTTTAATGAGTGTCAAGAACATTATGATATTTATTTATTTTGTTAGAATTAAAAAATTTGTCTTTAGAAGAGATTAAAGAATATGAGGATAAGCTGCTTTTTTATATTTCACATCATTTATAAATAATTAAATATTTGCTTCGTATATAACGCATGGGCAACAAGGGTCTGTCGAAAAATTTCGGCAGTTGGGCGTTTATTAGTAAGCTAACTCAATGTAATAATGGTATCACAAATCTTCATTTCAAGACCTATACCATGTGCTAGATTATCGAACAGGCAATGATTTTTTATATATGGTGCACGTAATTATCACATGAGTTCAAAGGTTAATAACTTCTTACTGGCGTTTTTTTTTTGACAAAGTAAACCGATAGAATTAAAGCTTAAGACCTAAGCTTCATTTCTATCAATTTTTTTTTTCTAACCTTGTAAAAAAATTTCGAGTAATTAAGCTTTAAAAAAACACAAATTAAAATTATATAATAAATTGATCATTCATTTCGTTGTCTAATCTCTTTCTATAAAAGGAAACAATGCACTCGAAATCTCACAATACGACTATTACATTATTATTATGATTTTATCGAGTATGAATTTGACTGTACATACATATTAAAAATTCGTCTGTTAATTGAATTCGTGACAAATATTTCTTTTTGCAAAAGATTTTTAATTATAATTTTAGTTATATTAATTGAATTAAAGAGTTTTTTTTCTTTTATATTAATGTAATACTTTCTCACATGTAAAACCTTTTCTCTTCCTTTAATGTTATTGAAGAAATAAAAACATGCATATGAATTATGAATTGTATATATAGTTCAATCTCTATAACGAACTACTCTATAACAAACATCAAGTAAAATCTCTTGTCCCTGATTCATTTTTTTATAATTAATTTCTCTCTTTATAATGAACATCTTAGTAGGCAAAAGCAGAAAAATTACAAGTAGGGACGTAAGGTTCGTTACAGGGAGAGTGAAATGTAGTAAGCGAGAAACTATTCTTTAATAATAATCCCACGAAATAAATAAATGTTTAAAAATAATAGTAAATAAAGTAAACATACATAGTCAAATGAAGGCCAACATAAAGATCCATATTAATATAATGAGAAAGCCCTAGAAGAATTAACGTTATACACTCTATATGTAATTTGTACCTTTTACGCATTTTCATAAAGTGTGGTCCTAATACCTTTAAATGTTATCAAAGATGGTAAAATAAGTGTTGGCGTTTTACTAATAGGCGTATATCTTTTTCTACAACTTTTCTACATTTTCTTTAATGAGAGAGCAAGGCATATTATATGCTTTTCTTATAATAATAAAAAATAGTGAAATAAACTAACTTTAATGATTTTATTCGCTACGAAATTTGTAATTTTCTCTTCTCGTCTAGCTCATCTAATTGATCTTAGAGTTGAAACCAAAGGAAATAGATCGAAAAGAAGGATCAAATTGGTAATTAATAGCGAACATTATTATAGAGCAGTTTTTTTATATTCGTATTTCTCGTTCTTATATATATATATATATATATATTATAATAAATTTTTATATATATATTATATCGAATTCCACTTATTTGGCTAAAATTATGCGATATTTAACCTTTAGATTGAATCACATCCGTCGTACAACATAAATTAAACTTATTCATTATCATCGTCAAAATTGTAAAACGAACTTTCATCTTGTTATTGTCTAAAAAATAATAAGGACTTCTTTGTGCAAAAATCTTATGTGTTTGATTTTTTTTAAAAAAAATAAAAAATAATACTAACTTTAATTTTTAATATGTTCTTAGTAACAAACAAAAAAGCAAGGGGGAAAAGAGAAACAATAAATAAAAATATTATTGTAAATGAGTAAGTATGTCAGAGAATGCTTATGATTTGAAAAGCTATTCAAGTTCTAATTTAAAAAATGATACTCGTTGGTGGCCACGCCCGAGAATCTCAGTAGTGAACCAAATGTACTGGAACTAACGATCCTCTTCAGTAAAACAATATGGGTATATTTGAAATGGAGGTCGATGAAGGCCCAAATAAAAATATTATTTGGAGTTGACGTGTGATACTTTGTAAATATTATTAATTTAATATTAAATTTTCTTGAATAAATAAATAAATAGGCAAGCAAAATATTTTTAACATATTGTATTATTTGTATAAATTTAATCTTGTTGAGATTGATCGTGGATACAAATTGTTTTTGAGAATAATTCCTCGTTTAATATTATTTTATTGATATGACTTTCAATGTAATTTTTATTTAGAAGCAATTACTAAATATGAAATATAATTCTATTCATATTGTGAACGCCAACTTTAATGTTACTTTGAATTGCATCTTGAGAAACTTTTCGTTTAGAAGGTAGATAATGGCTTTCATATGATATATGTTTTTATCATTAAGCAATCACGAGAATACTAAAAAAATTGCGCATATTTAAATGATTTCGCTTTGTTTGGTTAAAGCTAACATTAAATTATACATATATAAAAATAATAGGCGAAAATTTTTAAAAATAATGATTTTTGTATATATTTATGAGTGAATAAGAAATGACATATGTTATCGTTAAAAAAAAAGAATTTAAATATGAAACCACAGTCAATTCTATAAACACACATCCTTCTGGAATGAACAAGAGTATGCATTATGGAGGATCTGTTTAAAAATAAAATCGTCTTTTTTTTTAAGTAACAATTGTATCGCCATTCCTTTAAAAATATAATATATTAATATCAAAAAAAGGGTATAATCGTGTATTTAGTCGTATTTTTCTGCCATATATTTTTTTTTGTCAATCTGCCGTATTTATATAATTAGAATTATGAAATTTCTCACCGAGAATATTTTAATGATTTTGAATTAATACCACCTTTGTATGTAATCCTTTAGGCGGAACATTTTTGGCTCAGAAACCATACTCACTTTACATAATAAAATTTAGAGGTATTTTTCATTGAAATTTCAAAAACAATAGGAAAACCCCTTAAATGTATATAGATCTTTTTTCAAAACATCATTTTTAACGTTTCTCGTTTCTATTGAAAAGGCTCCACGTGATTTTGTATTTTTATTTCTTATTTCATAGTTTTCTAATTATTTGATAACTTCCATACAGAATAATTGAAGTAATTGATCCAAAAATATAAAATAATGAGATGATTTAATTATGTTATAAGCGTTTTTTGTACATCATTCATGATGTTAATGATTTTATGTGTATTAGGAGACGTTTAAATTGCATTATATGGTCATGGATAGCCTAATTTGTATCATTAAGTGAGCATTGTAATGCGAACCATTTCGAAAATGTTGATAAATATCACACAAGTCAGTCCTTGGATTCATAATTTGTGTCAGTTCATGTCATAACTTTCTGAACGCATATACTTTAAAGACTTCAAATTACCAACTATCTTCTTCCATATCAGCAAGAAATCTTTGTACCACTGATTTATAACTCATTTCAGCTGATAAAAAAATAACTGATTGGGTTATTTTATTGTCACTTCTTCCCAGGCTTGATAATCCATGGACTTTACTGGAAGATTTCAGCAAGTTGTGCAAATCGATTAATTAAAGTTTTTAACATTTTCGTTATTTTCATCCGATCACCCTTAAAGTGTGACCAACCATTTTTCATCGGTGAGCCACTGACTTCAGTAACGGAGAACTCTTCATCTTCTTCTCTCAATGAAATAATAGTATCAATTTTTTTTCCAATGGATCAGCATTCATCGTCTGCTTTTTGGGAATTACTATCTTTTGCGCTTGCTTTGAGGCGAGTCTCCTCCATATGAAACATACCAGTATTTTTTATTTTTTAAGTAGAGGCCGCCAAGAATCGGGGCTAACACATTAATTATATATGTTCCCTCGGACATTGGATCAAGAAGCAAATTTACATCTTCCATTAATATTATCCTATATAATGTTGGCTCATTGGCCTCACCGCACTTCTTAATGAAGGTCAAGTAAATATATACTCACATGTGACCCACGAAATTCAATGCAAATTTCTTCTCAAATGAAATAATATCATCATCATCTTTCTGTTGTTTAAGCTTCTCTTTGGTCTTTTTGTTATCGCGATCAATAATGTTGTCCAGGAGCAACTTAATATCATGCTCCGTATCGTCTTCTATTTTTTTCTCCTTCCTTCCTAGATCATTGAACATTTGCTCTACAATATTTTCATTTAATGTTCCCAAGAAACCATCTTTATTGTTACCATTGAAGGATATGACATTGTAATATTCCGATATCGTTTTTGGCGGGTTCTTTTCCAGCTGATATTTTGTGAGACATTCCCTGATACGAATCTTTTTATAGCTGGCTCACAAGGAACCAAGCACGGTTATGACGCAGAAGAAGAGGGCGACAAAGAATATAATGCGGATCAGACGGTTGTTAGTGGCAAAAGTACCGATTGGGTTATAAATGGGATTCGATTCTGGTCGTTTATGGATGTGTATTGGGAAAGTATCATATAGTGAACTTTCATTTTCTTCATCATCTTCCCATGTAATAATGTTGAACTGATATACGTTGTATAGTATTAGGCCTTCACTCGCGTATGATCTCGGTAATTTCTTGCTGAATCACCTTCGATTGGGACCCAGCTTCCTGGGCCGTGGTACACAACAACTCGGCCTAGTAAAGCGTAGCACTAATTAGAAGAGGAAAGAAGGGCATAATGCTATGTTTAACAAGGTAGAAATACATGCTGAAATGCCACACGTTCGATTATCAGGAAAATAAACCTTACGTAAACCTACGTAAGGTTCATAATTGGCCAGCATTATACGGAATTGTTAACAGAATTACCAAAATCTTGACACAATGCTGGCCAATTATGAACCTTACGTAGGTTTACGTAAGGTTTATTTTCCTGATGATCAACACATCTTTCTTCTTTTTAAAAATATTCTTTTCATTCTCAAAGACTGTTAGCTTTAACTTGGAAGAGGAAGAAAAAAGTTTAACGAAAGACAGAAAACCTGATGAGAATCAATGACAATATGATGCCTACCTTCTGCTTTTCCTGGATGATGGCATACCAAAAACAACTAACACGTTCTCCATTGACTTCATTCTAACATAACAAAATGTGTAAAAATTAATATACGACCAGGATGTGTAAACAATCGAGTACATCAAAATTGTTGAACGTTGTGATGTGATGTGGTGGCCAACATCGAACATGATAGTTCATCAACGACTTGACCTGGAATAGTTATATCACTCATTCAGAATGTCAAGCACTGTGATGTGGTTTAACGTGATAGTCAACCTGGGTATCTGCTTCCAAGCCCACCTTCACCCACAGTAATGAGTAAAGATGGCCAGCATCGAACATGATAGTTCAACAACAACCTGACCTAGAACAATGATGTCCTGTTCAGATTGTCAAGCGCTGTGATGCTGGTTTAACACACATAGCCAAATTGGGATGCTAGTATACTTCAAGCCCACTTTTTATATTACGGAAATAACTGAAGAGATAATAATATATTAATGCATTATTTATGATAAATGAATGATACAATCGATGATACAACTGCTGAGATAATAAAATATTAATGCATTATTCATTGGGGTTGGTCACAATGGTTGATCATCAGGTCAATATAGAAAATTACTATGTGCGGATTTTTTAATGTTACACATATATATCATCAAAACATTATAGTAAATAATCAAAGAT